GAACTACCGTCCCTCCATCTTGAACTGCTCCATCAATCAAGCTGGATAACAGCTTACCAGGTAAAGTTTGATGGTCAGCCTAGTTTGTGGGAAGCTCATCTCCATTTACTGTTTCTGAGACACTTCTGTGTTGATAGTCTTGAGTTACAGTTCTGTTAGATTAGCTACTGATTGGAGGCTTGAGTGACAGTCTGGTGTTCCTGTTTCAATTGCTTTAAAGTACTCTTATTTGTCTAAGTTTGTGAATGAGGTTTAAGTTACGTACATACCTAAACTTTCCAGTTATGAAATACCAAACCATTATCTGGACCATCCCTCTTTTTCCATATGTGCCCAAACAATCGTACAATACATTGTCAAAAATGGTCCTTTCACCAGGGCCATCTGAAATATCAAATCGTGCTTCAGACCAGAGATCCAAACTCCCCTATTGATCATCCCTTCTGCCTCTGAGGTACCTGCTTCTCTGATGGCCTTTGGATTCTGGAGCCCAAATGAAGCACCTGGAAACACTCCTCCAACAACAAGACGCACCCCAACCTGAAGGGATGCCCCACCTGCCTCATGCAGCAGTATGCAATGACTCCCACATTTTCTGTCCCTCTAAAAAAACAAACAATTCACAAGTGGCGCAATAAATATGCCCACCCAGAATTCTAGCCCATTTGCACACTCCCTGAACACACTGTCAAAGACCTCGCAATGGACAGTTAAAAAATTTATTTTTTAAATCATTCCAAACGTAGAACCGGAGACTATTGTTTTTCTTTATTACATCGCCCATTCCTCTTTTCCTTCCTTTGGGCTTTTTATGCCTTTATCTTGATGAGGCAGCTGAAGATACGACACGGAAAGGCGGCTACGCAGACGCACGGAACTCCCGGCGGACCACCCGCCAGCAAAGGGCCAACGCAGACTCAGAACCAAACCCAGCCAACAATAGCGATGTTCATCAACTCAGGCAGAAGCCACTGCCTCACACCGCCCCTGGGGATGTTGATCACCTTGGTTACAGTCTCCTTGCCAGAGGATTCAACAGCCTCAAACTTCTCCTTAAGGATCTCATTTGTGCAAACTCTCCTGCGACCCTGCGCAAAGAAACTCTTCTTCTCATACAGTATGAATTTGGGCTTCACTGAACGAGATGAGCAGTTATTGATTTCAGCTGTGACTTGGAGAGCCTCACCTGGAAAATAGAGAAAAGAAAGTTTGTCAATTTCTAAACCAAGTCAGTAGTTGATAGGTTATGATTGTGTAAGAGGATCATGTGTATGCAGTTTCTCAGTGATACACAGTAGGCTGATCAGTGGCCAAGGGACACAAAAAAGTGCAACAGTATATTTTTACCAAAGACACAAAGAAATAAATTATTAAGCATTAGGTAGTAATAATTAAGTAAGTAGCAACAAATAGTAGTACAGCAATACCAAAGCAGCTTTGGGCTAATTTAGAAAGATATTTTATTCAATTTGTGATGAGTGAATTTTCCAAAATATAAAATGCACATTATGTGTTTTTTTGTTTTGTTTTTAACCTATGGGATCCATTTCAAAATAGTTTTCTTTATGTATGTATGTTGTTGTTATTTTAGCCAAAAAAAAAAATCCAACAGCAGTCAAGCTACAGTAAATATTAAACTAAAGTATGATACAATCTTATCAAATCTGCTAAAAACCTGTTAGTATAATCATTAAAACCATATATAATATACTGCCTCATATGATGCCACTCAGTCTGTAATGTCCTATGTCACACAGGTTTTGCCATCTAACACTGACACTTTAATAGTGATTCCACAAACTGAAAAAGCTGCAATCTTTTCCCACTGGTCCAACAGAGTGGTCCCCTAAGGTCCAGCTTCATCAGCATTAGCTTCAAATGGGTGGACAGGTGGGCTGAGGCACAAAATATGGAGCAAAGGAATAAAGAAATGTTGATTTATGGACACTAACATCCTGGTGCTGATTGGTATGTTTATGTTAAGGTGGAAAATACAATTTCCTCCTTCCAGATTAACACGTGCACCAAAGCAAATATTTGTTGTTGGACCTGTATTAAGCTTCCCCACACCTCACACTCTTTGTGCTTTTGGTATGTACTATGTTCAAGTTCCGAACAAGTCCAATGCACGCTTTCTGGTAATCTAGCTGTCTTTCAAGAGACAGTTTTGCAAAGTCATCTTCTTTTTATGCTACAGCATCAACAAATGAGGGTTTTCTTCTGCCAGTACCAAGTCATTCCCATGATTCCACTCCAGAGAGTTCACAAAAACATTTTTTCATGACACAGTGGGTTGGTTACGTAGGTCCCCAATTTTCATTTTCATGTTTCCAGTGACTGAACAAGTATTAGGCAGTAAATCAAAATCCCTCTATCAGATTAGATTATTACCTTGTTTGTATCCCATCCACTTGGTGTGAACATCCATTGAAATGGTTCCAGAGCCAAAAAGTTTGAGAGATTTGTCCTTGCAACCGAACTGAGGTTCCTAAAAGAACAGACTCCCACCTTAAATAAAAAGTTCTATTGTGCTTAGACAACATTCATTATTAATTCATCACTCTAAGAGAACAAAAACATGGTGATTCTGATTTTCCGGTGATTATGCACTAATGAAAGCATACCTAGGAATATTATACATGAATATAATATTAATGTTACACACTGGACCTTTAAATTGATGCATTTTTAAATGTGAATATTTCGTACCATAAGTCCAGGAATATCCATGTCTGCTTTGGACTCAAATGTGAAGTGGACTTTGGCCTTTTTTGTCAGCTTCATTGATTGTTTCAGCTCTGCCTTCAACTTATGAACAATTTTCCCTATGGAGGCTGTGAAAGATGTACAAAATACATTTTATTTAACTGAAGTAAAACATCACTCTAAAATAAAGAATAAGTAAAGTATAGGTACCTGTCAGGAATCTTGAAGGAAAAAGGAAATACATGTCTTCCTTTACCAAGGACTTCGGTTCCTGGAACAGAATTAAGTATTATATATCTTTAAACAGCATGTTTATAATGGTTCATTATTGATTGCATTAGTTACAATGTATCGCATATCAATGGTTGTACTAATTAAAAATGTTACCATCTTGTCTTGCCTCTCTCAAGATATGATGTTTGACATCATAATATTTCTCATCAGCCCAGTACACACGATGTTGATTTTGCCCGTAATGTTCAGTCCAACGAACCCGAGCTATTCCTTGTCCAATGAAAATAAGCGACTGGATTCTACTCTCCTTAGAAACCTCCACAATGACTCTTCCATTAATGGTATCTCCATTTGAGAAGGTGTTTGTGCTGTTGATGGCGTCATATTCAATTGAGAAATTTGTGATGGTCATTTTCCACAGAGAAATACACAGTGAAAAATAAAAGTCCACTGTGACTCCAAGAAGAGATGCAAGCCTTGTAAACCCTGAACAGCTCCTCAGCACTATTTATATATCTCAAGCATGCAAATCTTGTTGGACCTGTTATTCTTTCTTACCTGTTGCCACAGGTAAGAGACACACGTGCACAAAAAGAGGCAAGAAAAAATACTCAGCCCTGATGAGTCACCACAGTTTACTAAAAAATGAAAGAAATGTTGCTTAAATTGCAACTTGATGGTCATAGTCAGAGCAATTCATCATTGGAAGAACATTCACAATGAAATAAAAACCTTTTAAGATTGAAAAAAATAACCTAAATAACAATGACAAAAGAATATTTCAAAATATATCATATTATTTCACAATTTCAGGTTCATTTATATTAACATTTATATTATTTATATTATATTATATTAAC